CTTGCGACGATCTGCTGCAGCACGCCCAGGCGTTTCCGAAGTTCTTGAAATTCCGCCTCGTCTGTCTGATCGTCTTCGTCACCCCAGGATGAGGTCTCATCGTAGCGCATCTTGGCGATGATGGCTTTCAGAATGGGAAGCAGGATGGATGAATGTTGTTCGGCCAGGGCAGGGTTGACCTTGGCGATCTTGCGCAGATAGGACAAGAGGTCGCTCACGCAGGGGATCACAGTCGAGCAGACTTCATCGTATTCATCGGAGAAGTATCTCAGGATATGCGGCAGGAAGGCCTGCAGCAGACCGGTGGCTTTGGCATTGCATTCGGCCGTGACAGTGTCCTGCTCCAAAGCCCGTACGATATCAATGACGGTAATGTTGACCAACTTGGCCACCGTTTCCGCCAGGTCAGTATCGTACTTGAAGGTAAACCTGTTATCATGAAGAGGGGGGCTGTTCGAGAGCTGAGTAACAATAGTGTCGAGATTGAGGAAAAGAATCATGTCCATTTTATCTTCTGGCTTCATCTTCTTGCCGATAATTTCCGTGAAGACGTCAACCGCCGCATCGCGCACCTTCTCTTCTCCTTCTCGGAGCTCCGCCTTCTGCGCTCGACCGAGCTGCTGGAACAAAAGGTCCAGCATGGTCTGGTTCACCACAAGACCGATATCGATCCAGCTGACCCAGCTGCCGACCGCCCTCAGGGACATCTCGACGATCGTATCATTTCCGTCCCGCCATTCGGACAAGATCTGCTGCCACGAGTTGGCGATTTTCTGCATGTCGCGCGAGCGAATCAAATCCTTGAGCAGGTTGGCCTTGTCCTGCTCGGGGCGGGACCGAGACACAAGCACGTCACCAATTTCCTCATGGATCGCATTGATGACACGCAGGTAGAAGACAACGCCGAGCGGGTTGTCGTGGCTCGTGCTGGCCGAACTCTTGTATGTGAGGCTGAGGAGGTCGTCGAAGAAAGTCTCCCAGCCATTGCCGTAGAGAGCTGAGAAGAGGAAGGTGATGGTCTGGGCGATCTTGTTTTGGATACTGGTCGGATCGGGGGTAACGTTATCCTGACCGTACACCTGGCGGAGATAGGCCATCAGGCCGTCCCGGACATAGCCCAACGCCTGGGGGTCAATGAAACCCGCCTGGGCCGCACTGTTGACCACTTCCAACGCTACATGCCGTATGATTTCGGAGTATTGCGGAGTCTTAGTGAAAAGGGTAAGGCAGACCTGCCATCCGGAGGGGTCGGTGCGGAGTTGGTTCAGGTAGTCGAAGGCCTGAGCCTTAAGAGTTTGGTCGGAGGTTGGGTTCCCGGCGATTTCAATGGCATTTAGTACCTACACGGGAGGAGGGTCAACGAGAGGTCGACGGAGGGGGAGACATGGGAATGAGGGGAAATATGAGAGGGGGGAGAGGGGATATAAGAAAGGGGAGGGGAGGGGGTAGGATGGAGGGGAAGAGAGATCGGTGGTGGGGTGTGGGCTGAACAGAAAAAGAAAAAAAGCGAGCAAAGGTGAAAGAAGACAAAGACCAAAAGAGGGTCAATGTATAGACTAGGGACTGCAGCTTACCTGCTCTTCCATCTTCGACCAGCCGGGCTGCCTTCAGAGTCGCAGGACTCGGAAAGCAATGAGGGTGAGGGGGAGGGATCAAGGAACGATGGAGGTGGTTGTTCGGTCAAAATGCAGATGGCGGCGGAGAGTCATAGCAGAACAGAACTAGTCGCAGAGGCCAGCCTATTGAGCCATCACTAGTGCGTTGGAGCAAGTGGATTCTTTCTTCGGCGTCAGACCCAGTCACCTGGGGAAGCGAGAAACCGCAAATTCTGCTCACCGGACGAGTTGTACAATAGCTCGTCAGCAAATGGGGGCTTGTGGACTGTGATTTTCAAGAAAACAGTGATTGCTCTCGTGCCGATGACGTGCCGCCGGAAGGAAACAAAAAAGAAAACGACGAAAGAAATCTTTCGTGCCTGAGTTTGTGTGGCCGCTGTTCCGCCCCAAAACGGCAACGGGCGGCGTGCCGTTGCTGCCTGATCATTCAGGCATATTGTCAAGATATAGTTACCCTTATGTCTACCCAACTATATGCCTTAATTTACTGATCGCTCGATACCATTGCATTACATTGCAAAATCACTCTACCATTATTAGTTTAAGTGGTCCATATCCCACTCAGCTGCATCCCCGCGCTCAGTGCTTCCCTTCCTGGCGCAGCACCTCGTTCTCCATTTTCTCAAAGCCCTCTACAGCCTGGCCGTAGCGCTCAAACACTCCAGGCTGGTAACCATCCGCGATCTTTTCAATGAACTCCTCTTCATGCCACCGTTTTCCAATCAAGTCTTCGAAAGTCTGCCCCTCAGCTCGCTCCATGGCCCAGACCGCCTTATACGCCGCACCCAGCGCACAGGCGTTGTCGCCAATCTCCAGCTTATACACTCCCTCACTACCACCCAAGATCTCTCCAGCAACTTTAGCAATGGCCTTGTTCTTCGATCCACCGCCAACCAAGTACACCCGACGTGGTTGCGCGGGGATGCCCTCACCAGGGCTCTGAGTCAGGCCACGAGACCGCAGACGCAATGACAGCATCTGGCTCTCGACAATGGCGCGAGCCTCATCAAGAGTATCCCAGCCGCCATTCGAGGGCTGCAGGCTGCCGTCGTTAGGGTTGTAATCGAAGCGCCACTGACCCGAGCGCAGGTTTGGCACAATCTCTGGACGAGGGAAAAACAGACCCAGCTTCATTGGGTCGGAGTCAGCCTTTTGGCCCATGGGCGGGGTCTCCAGTGTAATCTTGTCGAAGTTGGCCCATGAAGTAGACGGCTTCTCGCCCAGCTTTTCGTTAACTGCATCCCGGACCAACTCGCGGGCCAGTCCACCGTTCTTATAACAAAGCATGAACATGTACAGACCCGCAGTGGTGGGGTGATTGAAGAAGTGAGTGGCCGGGTCAGGCTTATAGCTAGGCGTGGACATGAGGAAGGTGGTCGAAGTGCCCAGAGATACCATAGCATCGGAGGCTCGTAGGGGCAGAGCAAGGATGGTGGCAGGGTTGTCACCAGTGGCGGGAATGATCGTACAGTCGGGGCTGAAGCCGTAGCGTTCCACGTAGTACCGATCAATTGGGCCGAGATGGATGCCTCCATCTTCGAAAACCTCGCCCAGCTTGCGTTTCAGGTCATCAACGCCCGATGAGCCGGCGCAGAGCTGTAGAAGCTTCTCATCATAGGCACCCTTCTTGATGTTCCAAAGGTTCATGCCGCAGACATCGGAGATGTCCATCGGTGCAATGTGACCCAAGAAAAGGGACGCAATGAACGAGGATACCAGCGAGATCCGCGACGTCTTCTTGTACACATCAGGGTATTTCCTCTGGAAACGCATAATCTGCGGACCTGTGAATCTCTACTTATAATTAGCAATTGCCAAAACCCCTCTACACTCATGTAGACTATTGCGGGGGTGAATACTCACATGGTGTGCCTTGCTTCCCGTGGCCAAGGCCAGCTCACTCTGGCCACCCAGAGCGGCATCAAACTCATCACACTCCTTCTGAGTGCTCGAGTCCTGCCAGTTAGGACTGAACGGGTGCGAGAACGCCCCGTCCAACTGCTCCTCAAGCGTCTTGCTTGCATCCAACTCCTTCAACAGCTTCTCCGCATTTTCTCCCCAGTATACACTTCCGTGTTGCTGTCCCGCGCCACTGATGCCCTTGATCTGGCTGAAGTCCAAGCCTTGTTTACGCAGCCCGTCTAGGACGCCATCCAGGGCCTGCAGCCACAGGGCTACGGGGGCAAAGACCTCATGTTCGGCTTCGTTGGTGAGAACACCCTTTTTGATGGGAAAGCCGCGGGAGTCGGCGTCGAAGTCAAATTTGGAGACAAAGACGACCTTGAGGTCGGAATTGACGACGAGACCCTTGAGTTGTTGGGTAGAGAGGTCGAAGCCGATGTATAGAGGGCCTTGCATGGTGAGTGCGGCCCGGGGGGATGATGACGTATGGGTGGAAGTGGGATGGCAATTCCACGGAAGGGAGGGAAGAAGAGATAAGATAGAGTGGAGAGGTCTCAATTGAAATGGAAGAATTCAAAAGAATCAAATTCTAGGAAGCAAGTATGATTTTACGTGAAGCTAATGAAAGAAGAGAGGAGTGGAAAAGAGAACAATTGCAGACGCAATGAAGTCAACACACCGATGGATGATTTATCCCTTGAGCTCCCGCCAGCCTGGCAGCTGGTCGGCAAAATCCGACCAACAGGAAGGCAATTGGCATGTCGGCGTGCCAGAGAGCAGATCCCATGACTGATCGTGCCCGACCTCGTCCTTTTTACCGACGTGGGCGCTGCTTACTGAGTGATTCTCATTCTTCTTGTGCTTTTTGGTACGCGTGGGGTTCACGATAAGAAGATATTGATTTAACCTGCGACCCCCCACCGCCGCCGGGAATTTACCCGGTTAATTACTAGTAAGAGGAAGGGAGGCCACTTTGGACTCAAGTGATTGTGCTGAATGACCACCATCGTGGGTCTAGATCCTCAGGGTCAGTCCAAAAGTCCCTTCTGCAGACTTTTTTTCTAGGATCCTTTACAGGAAAAGTTAGACTAGTGCTGGACTACGACCAACTGGCTAGGGCCTGCGGCTAAAGTGAAGATCCCGCGGATCGCCTCATGGGATCGAGTTCAGTGCGTTCTGATACATTCATCCCGACCGAATAGATACACAGTTATCATAGATAATACAATCCCTTCTATTTTGATTTCAAAAGTCCACTCCTTGTCTCCCTCTCTACTTCCACCTGGGATCGCCTATCAACCTTCTATTCTATCCAACTGGCTAGTACTCCACGGCAGCAGACGGGATGTTGGATGTCCCCCCACTATCCATCCTCGGGTATCATCGAATTGGGGGTGCAGAACGCTAGTGAACGACTGACACATGGAGCGGACAGATCTGATATTGCCAACCCATGCTATTCATAGGGACAGAACCTGACCCTCAGCGGGTTTTGCGGGGTTCATGGTCATGTTCATGGTCATGGTCATGCTCATCCTCCTCGCCATCCTCTGGCTCAGGACGCGCACGAGAAGTGACATCCGCAGGGATGAATTCCTCCGTGAAAGTCAGCTCCTCGTGCTCCAAGGGAATAAACCGAACTTTGAGACGCTTGACTCCACGCACGCCTTCACCGACCGCAGTGCGGATGGACTCCTCGACCTGCCGGGTTCGGCTGACAGACCACGCGCCTGGCACAGCGATCTCGACATCCATCAGATAGTTCTGTCCGGACTTCATGCCCTGCACATCACGGACCTTGATGGCATCGCCACCTTCCAATTTCGCCAGCATCTTAGCCGCGGCTTTCTGTACTGATTCCTTGATGTCGTCGTCAACGTTCGTATCAGCGAGCTCCAGCAGCGACGTCTTAGTGTTTCCCCATCCAGCCTTGATGACCATCAGCGAAATCAACAGTCCACCCACAGGGTCCAGCCAGGATGCGTCTTGGAAGAGATAGGTGCCGCCAATCGTAAAGAGAGCGACGATACTGGTCAGGGAGTCGATGCGGTGGTGGATGGCGTTGGAGGCTAGTACCGAGGATTTGCGTTCCGTAGCAACTTTCATCGCTGTCGGGGAAAAGGGCCGTCAGCATCGCAGTTGGTGTTAGGGCAGGGGTTCTTCAAGGTACTCACTAGCATGATATAACCACTCCTTCACCACGATGGACCCCGCAGCAAGCCATGCGGCATGAATGCTCGGGCCCATTGCCTCAACGCCGTGGCTATGCGAGTGACCGTGTCCCAGGGCGCCTACATGCGCGATCGCTTCCGCAGCCTGGGGGTAGAACTGATCCAGCAGAACCTGGCCGGAATTGAGGCCCATAAACACACCTCCGCAAAGCAACAGCCCGCTAACCCCTAATGCTCCGATGCTTTCGATCTTGCCGTAACCATTAGGGAATCGCTCGCTCGGCGGCTTGAGCGACCAGGCGACCGTGCCTAATGTCAGGAAATCGGAAACTAGATCGGTAAGGGCGTGGTAGGCGTCGGCGATGAGAGCTTGGGAATGGAACACGTAGCCGCCGATGAACTTCCCGATGGCCATGGCGAGGTTAGCGACCAGGCCAAGTCGAGTAATTCGCACACCAGCATCATGTTTATCGGTAGAAGTAAGGTAGACGTTTCCGTGATGGTGATGGTGGTGGTGGTGGTGGCCATGATGGCCACCGTGGTCTCTGGATTGGGTGGTCATTGGAGGTAGGGTAACGGAGGTAGCGGAGGTGGCTGCGGCGATGGAAGGGACTAGAGTCGGACGTGTGACGGGACAGAGCAAAGCATTGGAGGAGGAGACAACCGGAGAATGAGAGGAGGAGACACTAGGGTTCTTATGGCGCAGACGCGAGAGCGAGGACGAGGACGAGACTCGCAGCTGAAGAGCCCTGGGGAGAAGAACAATGCCGGATCGTCTCCCAAAGGCACAGGCCGGCCGTGATAGCGGAGGATGGGCCCTGCACCACAAGGGCTGCGTCAGCATCCTCGTAGTGGCTTGTCTAATGGACCAGGTTCTGGCTGCAATTATATTATTTTGGGTTGCAAATACACGGAGAGGAGCCCGGACTGAAACAGCAGCTCCATGGTGGTGCAGTGGATTGTTTGAAGAGAAGAGGAGTAGCCGGAAAGCCTGATTGTCATTGCGAGTCACTCCGTCATGGCTTGTCGGTCGAATCTCCGGCTGAGGCGATGCCGACATGCGCTGACGATTTCGGCCCCGGAGTTGATCCACTGATCGCTTTCTCGATAACAATCTTCCCCCAATTCCGGCGGCTATGATTAGCAGAACCCTGCCATTCTCGCTGACAGACGAACTGCACACACGAGACCAATAACCTCCCAGGTAATGCAATCTCGATAATGCTGGACCTTTCTGTCCGATCTAGAGCGCTGTCTCCCTCCGTGACCTTTTCGCTCTCTCCGCCGATCCCTTCCCTCTTTACCCCTAAGAAGCAACGCAATCTCTGCTTGGCAACTCCTCCAGCTGCGTCACCGGATGCTTGTCATGATCCAGAGCCCCTCTTCGAACCGGAGACAAATATCTGCGTTTGAGGCATCCATAGATAGTCGGTTGGCGGAATTCTAGTGCCGAACGAAGGAGAAGCGGCGTCTTGGCGGGGATCAATCTTTATCAGAAGCTCCGCAACGGACGCTGACTTGCCGGACAGTTAGATTGCGTGCTTGTTAAGCTTAATAGTCCGTAGTATTCCACTAGAAGAGGTTCAGCGTATCAAAATATTAGCTCACAAAGTAGACCAATTAAGTCCACTGCCAACTTTATGATGGCTCGGATAGACCACACCAGTTGGTTTTAGGCTGGCTTGGACCAGATCTTGAACACGAGCTGTATGCTGAGTCTTGATTATTCGCAAATGGGAAGGCTGCCATTGCACTGCCTGCAAACCAGTCCTTTGATGATATCCTCTGACTGGACACGATTCTCGTGACTCGATAGTCATCAGAGCCATCATTCACCGTTAAGCTTTGCTCAGCCTTACAGGCTGATGTCAAGTAGCCTTCGTAGAAGACAAGGCTGTCAGAAGAGCAGATATATAGACCGAACCAGAGACGAAAACAAGTCCATCTTCAGGACAACTCAATATATGACACTGCAGATCTTGTTAGCACGATGGCCTATCGCCAGCGACGTTTCTCCATGTTCCTGCGCCGTCCCTTCAAAGAAACTACCCAAAATACCTCAGTCCCTCATCCAGACTTATTCAAGACCTTAGGTATCGCATCAAATGATACTCAAAGAGGCAACGTAGACCTCCCAACGATCGGGGAATGTGCCGTCCATCTCGAACTGCTCGAAGTATTCCGTAACCTGCGTATCCAGATCATCCAGTCGAAGGAGTTAGTCCGCGTATACCGTCTCGATTCGAGCCGATTATGGATATCGAAACATCGTAGAGAAACGAAGAGGACGGAAAAGTGGCATCGGTTCGTGTCGCTTGCTGTTGAGAGATTTCAGGTCTGGATCCGTGCTGCGGAGAAGCAGCTTGAGCGTGATGGAAACAATGAAACGCTTATACTTCCGCCTGCTGGTAAGTTTCACTGTATAGCTGTATGGACTTAGTCAGTGACTGAAGTCGTCAGACATACTTATGGTTTGGCACGCATTCCTGCTCAATCCATCCGATTACAAGGAATTCTGTACAAGCCGTCAGCTTGATCGAATTCAGGAAATGCCTTTCCCATGGGTTGTTATAGTAGGTTTGCACCATGGATTGATATACATCGCATACTAATCAACTATTACATGGTAGCACGACTGCATCAACCCAAACAACTGGTCATATACCCTCCCCAGCCCAAACAAACAATGGCTCGAATCTACAGCAAGCATAACAGCAGACCCTCTTGTCAGTCTCACAGACACCATTAGCGAAACCCAGTCCACACCAGACATACCGAACCAAGAAAAACATCCATCAATCCCCCAAGAAAACAATGCCCTTCTACACAACGTCCTCCGCCAAATGAAGTTCATCGACCAGATGCACGACTGTCTATGGATTTCTTATCCTGATGCCGCAGACATACTAGAGACTGCTCGAAAACGCTACAACAACTTCGTCGAGTTGTTTCGTCTCCATCCCGGCGTTATGCTCGTTCCAACGTTGGATATAGATCTAGTCTGGCATACGCATTTGTGTAGTGCGGCACGGTACAGGGAATTCATGATGGAACGGGTAGGGCGGTTTATTAACCACGACGATAAGTTGGGGAAGGGTGCGCTGGATGATGGATTTGACAGGACGAAGGAACTGTATGAGGAACTGGAGAGTCGTGGGGGGGGGGGGTTAGATATGAAGGATTGCTCTGGTTCGGTGTTATGATATGAATAATGTGGGATGGATTGCAGTTATGATAGCATATTATCGCATAATTGTAGTGATTCCGGCTTGAACAAGTGACTGAACAATGATCTGAGTACACCTCTGGAAAATCCCCAAAACATTGATAGAGTTTTTGACACATTATTAAATTTACAATGGACGAAAGAGATTCTTTTGTCAAGATGAGAAGGAAAATTTATGACTGTTCATGCCTGTTGGCGGAAACGCTTGCAGAGCTCTGTCAGGCTCAGAATCTTCATGCTTCAGCCTGTAAATCACTTCCTTCTTCTAGATCACCGTAAATCATCCCAATAGATCGAATCCACAGGCTTCCAATTCGAAAGTAGAAACCCTTGATATAACAGTTTTTCGGTGGTTTGAGACTTAGGCTGCTATAAACCTCCCCTGATTCTTGATAGAAGCCGGCCCATTGCTGGTCCCAGATGGCCTTGAGCTAGTCATAATGAGCTGATGAAGAAAAATCAGGGAGCATAAGTAGATCTACTTACTTTAAGCAAGGGAAACTCGGACTCTGGACGCACACGAACAACGATCTCCGCAAAAATCTCATCTGGTCCGTGTATCGGGAAATACTTACCATAGTCACCGGTCTGACCAACGGTGCTTATCCCTCCTGACGAGTAGTGTATGGCGATACCTTGTATACCACCTAACGCACTATAGAACGTGACTCCCGATAGATTCTCTGTTAACCACAAAGCCTCGACAGTGAAGTTCCCAACATTCGACACCATATCTTTCTCATCTTGAGGCTCTCCTGCAACGTAATGAGTCTCATCAATATGACCTTTCCAGAATGCATGGCTTTTCTGCATCAAAAGAGTTTCTGGAAAGGAAATGGTAGTGTCGGAGCACCACCCGATATGTCTGAATTTGAGTGCCTGGATCATTTTGTTATTCTTGTTAACCAGCAGGTGGAGTTGAGTCTTGGTAAGAAACACATACGTCTCGCACAATTCTAAGCCTCCCTTCCCCTCTCCTTATACTAAGTCCTTCCCAGCATTGATCTCTTTTTGGATCCCCGAAACTCCACTCTGAACGACCGAACTTCAGACTTCTGATTCCGACAGCGTCCAACAAAAAACAGATAACGTCAACCTATCCTGGATAGAATAGATCTGAGAGACTAACTCGGAATGGGTACCAATGCGTTGATGAGTGCTTCTTGTCCGAAGATCAAGTCCGCAAACATAAATACGGCCGTCCATTCTAACTCCATAGACCGTGATGGCTTGAAGATCAATTAGCAAGATTGCGAAGGAATCACTGAATCCGTAGGCATCATTATTCGATTTTGTCGGGGCGCATACATCCACGGTCGGCGACGTCGAATTCATAGCCAGGTTGCCTATGTACTTGCTTACCTCTGTTTGTCTAGATACTACCTCCCATCTCAGATCGAGCCCTGCACTGTGGGATTCCAGAAATCCCGAAGAAAGGACAAGTAGCAATCTGCGCAAGGATGCACCTTCGTCAGCAGTGGGAAGACATCGATAGAATTGCCTTGGTTCTCGGCGCATGAATGAAGCACCATAATCCAGCGCAATCTTGCTGGCGCAAAACAGCCGAATCAGATCCGTCGGTGGAAGGTAATCTAGGATCATGGTCAAAATTTCAAGGGGAAGTTCAAGCAATTGTGAATCACAGCGAGCAGAGTCTGTCTCCATGTACGGCCCAGTGCAACATGTTGCAAGATCAGAGGGTATAATAGCAGCATGTGGATCGAGGCAACCTGGGAAGTGATATCAGCACGGTTCGAAATATCCGCTGTAGGATATGTCATACTACGCAGCTTCATTTGTGCGTGGTCCCCAAAATTTCTTTCTCTATCTGGCTGTAAGGTCTGGCACAATCGAAATAAATGTTCAACTTCTATCGGCGATGCAGTTTGCTCAAGCAGAACATGATAGCAGGAGGAATGAATGAGGAAGCAATCCGTCGATGTGTAGGAAGGGCAAGGAAACACTCCAGTTCTTTCCGGTTGATCTTCATCTTCATCGAAAATTATGTCTTGGTAATCCTCGGAATCATTGTAATACAGATGACCAAGGTAAAGCTTGCCATCCTCATGGCACATTAGATGGGATTGGTTAACACTGACAAGCCCGGAGAAGAGTAAAGTTTACCTATTGTAAAATCCTTCGACCAGTCTGCCTCACCCAGCCAGCCAGAGCAGAGCAAGCAACACGAGAAAGCCACGAAAACCGACATAAGGTATTTGAGTTGTTAAAATGAGCTTTACAGTTGAGTAGATAGTGGCACTGAAGCTAGTATGAAGGTCAAGCTATAAATAAAGTCTTGCGAAACAGTACGTACTACTGCTAAGTAGAGTAGAGCAGCAATAAAAGTCTACTGATGTGTGACCAACACAGTAGTAGTGAATACACTCCACTAAGATATTATAGTATAATATTCCAACCTTGCTGATCAGGAATCTACATGTTGTTGCTTTGCATAATTGAAATCGGGCCGACGTACAAGGGTGGTATATAAGCATCTTGCATTTAGTAAATCCAATATTCAGTTACAATGCTCGATAGAGTGGTATAATATCAACTTGCGCGCTGGAACTCACTGTCGCTGTTGCTGATGCTATTGGTGGTAATCGCACTGGCATCCGCATCAGTCCCTAGGGCACATACCACTCGATTGTGCCTCGTAACCCAGAGTCTCAGTTCGCTCATCTGGTCACTGAGGTGCGAAAGCTTGACTTGACCTTCACGTCATTACATCTTGTGTGGACAACTGATATGATGTGGACCGTGCAACGTCCCTCGATTTGGTCTTTGATTTTATCTTTGAAAGCTGGAGAAGATACATGCCTGTCAGAATCACTGGAACAACAAGCACCGCAGTCACAAATGCAGAGAAGTGAAATGTCTCAAAATGTGGAAAATCTGCCAAACTGGCGATCACGGCGATTCAGGGGTATACGCCATCTGTGCCAAATGCCACGACCACCCAGCTGGCGGCCCAGATGGTTTCCTTGAATGCATTGAACTCACGGTTTGAGCATTCAGTAGCGCTATTCAAGCTCCTCAAGCCAGCGTTGAACATGTGTTTTTCTCGAACTATTCTGCATCTCTACGTCCGATTCCTCATCGTCTGGAGCCTCCTCGTCATCAGTACCTTCCATATCGAACCAGGAAAGCTGATACATAGGTCTTTCGCTGCTAGGGTAACCTGTCGATCTCAACCATTTGAATATACCACGTGTGGCGCCTTCGGAAAGCGACTGTGAGAAGAAGTTATATGTATAGTCTTCAAGAACCGGAGAGTCTCTGTTATGGAGGTATTGCGATTTTTTGTCTGTCGGCTGGCTAGTTTGTTCTCTTGTGTTTCTTATTGAACGATTGTCCGTCAAAATCCATTCCCAAGAGTCGTATTCCAGGTAATGCCCGGTACACCAAGCATGTTCAAAGACTGATAACTCTGTTTCGCTGAGATGGGTAGCCCCAAAGGGCTTCCAGGGCCAGATTGGAGGTCGATCGTGACCTTCAAAGGCTGTAATGAAGAGTAACCGACACTCATCATCGCGATGTATATAATCGCCATCGATGGATTCTATTTCTGAGGTCAAGAAAGGCTGACTTGTTTCGGTCCAGGCAGACGCAGGAAGATCCACAGCCGTCATGCCTGCTCGTACGTCGCGCAAGATAGATTTTGCCAAGTCTGTGAGAAGGGCACCGAGCCAGAGAATACCGATTCGAGGTTGCCGATTTATCAGAAACGCGGCCTTTGAATTGCTCTTCGAAGATATTGAATCGAGAATTGCGAAGGCTGGGTTCAGCCATGCACTCACAAGGTTACACTCGATATCTTTATTGAAGAAGGTGCTGCACAGTATCGAGCGTAGACCCCATACATTGGAACTCAATGTCATGTACTTGGCAAGCAATTGGCCGTGCTCTTTGAGGAGTTCCTGAATGGGAACAGTGGACCCGCCATCACCCTCTTTTGACTTCAGTCGGGAACTTTCTTTAGGGAAAGGGAGTGCGATTGTTCTTCCCCTCATGAATGGGATATAAGGTACCCCGGCAAGGGCGACTGAGCACTGGGCGTAAAGACGATGGTGTACACAGAAGCGTCGTAGATATTCAAGAGCGGTCCATGAATCTGGTGGGTCTGCCCTAGTATTCAGGAAGCCCTTGGTGGTTACTATCAATCCAGCGCCAGTGGCAGACAGCGACCACGGCGACAAATATTCATGGCCATTGTACTTGGTGGTCGCATCCCAGCAACTGTCAGAGCACAAGACCGCACGCCACCAGGAAACTTCCTCCACGCAAGCATCATCACCGATATCAATCTGAATCATATGTTGCTTGTTTGGAGAGAACCCTAGGCGGTAGATCACATTTGCCTGTAGAGGTTCTCCACGTTGACTGTGCGTTAACGACAAGACTACCTTTCCCTTGTGTTGATTGTTTCTCCTCGCAAGCGAACGCGATCTTCTCGTCAGAGGCAGCGGCGCTACCACCAAGGAAAGGTGGGGTCTGGCAGACAAGTGATCCCAAGTCTATTGCGTGCTGTGGGAATGGATGACCTTCATCCTCACTAGCTAGATAGGAGGACCACGTTCGAAAGCTTTCCTGGAGGACATGATTGAATGTATCATCAGCCGGGCGCACAGCATCGCCCATGATCCACACCTTCACGGGGAAAGAATTTTAAACAGAAAAAACCTTCGCGGTTGGTTGATTCGATATCAATTATGGGAATGAGAAGACGTGAGTAAAAGGTCCCGATTCCACGATGATTTCCCTCTCGTCTTCAGCTAAGTATCAACGGAAGGGAGAAAGAGGTGCTGTTGCCAGTAAGGGACAATTATATAAGCACGCATGCTGCGTACACGTTCAATTTGAGAGTGAAAAATGTATAATACAAGTATAACTGCCTGAGGCTGATAGTCATGCTTCTCACTTGTCGGAGTGGTCATCACTACTATTGTATCTTATCTCTCGTGACACTTTCAAGCTTCCGATAATCATCTATCCCAACCACCAAGACATTTCAATCTTTAGAAACAATGTTCGGCCTTAGATGGATTTTAGGACACGGCAGAAGATAACTCTAAAATTTGTCGATCATGAGATTTGCTGTTGGAAACATTGACTGGAAGGAACAGAGCCACGTCCTTTGACACTCCGGACAATGTTGCGCGCCAAACCAACAGAATGAAGCAAGACCTTATGATTTGGGACTAAAGCGCAACATCTCCCGTTGCCAGTAAATACTCCAACATCACAAACGCAGGCGGTTCCAAGCGGGTGGAACATGTCTGGGTCCTCGATGTGATGGCGGATGAGGGTGCCGGGGCCAGCCAATGCCAACCCGTCAATCTAGCGCCAGCTGTGCGTGCCTCGTCTCTCTGGCGTCTCTCCCCTCTTCCCCTCTCCATGGCGGCAACCACTTGATATCACATCTCCTCTCACGCTATCTTCTCTAGCGCAGCTTCCATGCAGTGTCATTGCTCATCACACTGGGCGTCTGTCGGGTCGGCCAAGTCCAACCCATGGCGTATACTAACCGCTGCACTTTTCCAGCACGACACGCTGGAATCTCAGCACAGCTGATCCGTTGATATCAGGGTAACCACGCAGGACTTATTGGCTAACAATGTTTCATGGGGTGATTCCAAGTCGCGACATTCGTGGTGTCTCCCGAAAACCATGGCCTCGAAAGGTGCTTCATTGATAGGCCCCAGTTACTTGCTGCCTCCAACCATACAATATAAATATCCAGCCATCGACATGACCCAGAACCTGCTCCTCTGCCTGTTCAATCTTAGCATTCAAGAACAATCTTCAGTTCCGGTGTACATACTTTGGTATATACTTCGTGTTCATAAGTCGTCATAATGATCGACCTCCTAGAAGTGAAAAGACGCTACGAAGCCGTGCTGGCAGTTGAAGATAGCAGAGACAAAATTCTTCAGGTACTTTTCTTCACAGCATAACGCATATTCAATTTATTAACCTCTTCTTCGACAGAATCTCTTTGCCCAGGTCGAAAGTCTGCAGAGGGCCCTTCAGAACACGCTTGGTGATGCCAAGTTCCAGGAATTGAAGAAGTATAAAACAGAGTATGACGACTTGCGGCTTGATCAGGTATTTTCTTTTCATTCTAGTGTCTCGCTTCTATAGGCTTATACAGATCCGCAGTCCAAGTTAAGTTTTGTTTCTGTACTTGTCGACGGTGACTGCATGAATGTAAGTAAGCGTCCGACTGTTGTCTCGTCCTATACTGACAAGTTAGTTCAACGATACTCTCATCCGACAAGGCTACAACGGTGGACGCAAGGCTGCCATGCTCCTCCGAAAGTCCGTCGAGCGTCACATCCGTGATATCGACCCCCAGGCCAGCCCAAACATTCAGTACCGCATCCGAGTGTACGCCAACGTTCCGGGTCTGATGAAAACGTACCGGGAAGCACACATCTTGCGTTCCAATGAAGCGCTAGATCCATTCATTCGGGGGTTCAACATGGAGAACAGCCTGTGTGATTTCATCGATGCAGGAAATGGCAAGGAGTGTTCAGACGTCAAAATACGGGGTACGTTGCCCTCTTCACCAAATCATGGCATGTACTAACCGCCATCAT